TCTGCCAAAAATACCATAATCACATGCCATTTTTGTTATGTGTTAAGTATAAGGTTGTTTATTTTTTTGTGTATGTGTGTTCGTTCAGTCGAGAAAAAAAGTCATTGCAATGGCTCAGAACGCGCTTTTATCGTAGATAAAATAGAAAAAAAAGCTGACCAAAATATGCAATTTCACTTGTTTTTATGCGCATTAATTTCGCTTAATTAACGCAGCCTATAATTTACAGTTAAATGTCAAGATGGTTGGTGTTGGTTGGTGTTGGGTAATCATAAAATTGGTTCAATGTAATTTCCGAATTTAAATCTCTCTGAATACATATCGGGCGTACAGAATACAAGTGCTGTCGTTGAGCTAAAATTATCTTCCTGGAATTTATGTTGTTTGAAGTGTAAATGAGATTCATTTGCATTTTTATTTGATTCAATGCCTCGACAAATGATCCATAAAAATGATTATTTCATTCCATTTTCAAAGTGTACAATTTGCTTTTCGTATTTTTTTTTTTAGAAGTTTTTGTTTGACAATCAAAACATCGATGAAGCTTTCTCTCCGAATTGCTTCTTTTTTTCTCTGATTTTGAAAGCATACAATACTCTGAACAAACAAAAACTCGAAAATATATATTTGTGAAGAGACAAAAAACAAACGTGCTACACACTGAATTACAAAAAAGATTGAGAAAATCGTTTCAGTCAAACAAATTGAACAATCAATTCACAATGTCAATATAATACGATTAGTAAATGCTCATTCAAATTTACTTGCTTTATCGCCGCAAGAAAGGTGTATGAATCATTCAGCAGTAGTGCGAAATTGCCAAACACTTATTAACATTTTAATTAACAACTGAAAGCAAAAACAAATACAATAAACCCGTATTGCATACGAGTGTGGTGGCTACATCGTCAGTATCAAACTTGACTTTGTGCGATTATAGAATACAATCTTTATAAATTGGACAATGTAATTTCAACGCCAAATTGACTGCTTGATTGAAAAGTTGAAATAAAACGTTGAATAAGTACAGAGGCCCAATGTTAATGACGCGACAACCAAATCGAAGTAATGAGTGACGAATATATGAAAATGAGCCTCATTATTCTTACAAGTTTACAGTGGGCGATGAATATTGAGGTGATTCAATTAAGTGAAATTGATGAACGTGTTCCGATGTAACGCTTCAATACAATGAGGTAGAGAGAGATGGAATGCTCATTTATTCATGATTAAATGAGAAGGATATAAAAGAAGGGACGATTTTTCAATACGTCAATGTTCAGTTTCAAATTGAAGTTTCATCCTCTTAGCTTTGTGTGAAAACGGAAGAAAAACGATTTTCCAAAAGCGGACGGCTTGTCAGTGGAGAAAAAAAAAACATGGCAAAATGTAAACGACATGAAAACATTGTCAATTTCTAATCGGAAACATTTGTTTCGATTGTATTTGATACGGTAGTCTGAATGTGACATAGTCCATTAAAATTGAATCGATTTCAGACCCGGGCTCAAATATTTATTTTATCACTCAAAATTTGTATCCAATATGATTGAATAAATCGATATTCAAATTTATGATCTGTTTTGAAATTGGCTACCACATTTTTGAAACGAATACCATTTGTTTTCAATGACAATAAAATCTGAACGCCAGATTAAAGTGATAATTTATTTTCGAGCTACGCCATTCACAATTCTTATTCTCTCTCTGTCGCACAACGGAAACGAATTCTGATTAAAAATAAAAGCATACAAATGTCACATTGTACTTTTCTATTTTGTTTTATTTTATGTTTGGTTGTGTGTATTTGTCATGTCTTCGTCTATAAAAATGTGTGTGTGTGTTTGCGTCTCTACTAATGCGGTTCGACGTTCCTTTCGAATCGAAGTGAGTTCATGTAAATAAAAGTATTCTTTTCTAAGTACGCGTCATCGTCGTTGCGTATTGCATTCATACATCGGAATATAAATATAGTAGCAGCACATATAGCATACAGAGCAGTAGATGCATAAATAAGAAAAATTTACAAGTATTATCTATATCCATTGAAATGTCTTTGTATTATGATAGCTCTATGTTGAATAATTCCATTTACAAGTTAATATTCGATTAAGTAACATACAACATTGAAGCGAACAATACACGCATTGAAAATGAGCATCCAACAAAAAAAAATATATGACGAAGTGTCACTGTTCATAGTTTATTTACGGTGTGCATTTGGTTAAATGACAATATAGAACCTGGAGAGAAGCATTTAAAGCCAAAAGCCAGCCAGCACATAACAACAATGGTACATTGAATCACAATGGAATCATTTTACGTTCGAAAATTTGACGATGAGACCAAGATAGGGAAAGTAAGACGATGACTTAGGACCGGCATACTGTTCACTTGGGCTGTGTGCGTGCGCGCACAAGATCGCCTATTGAATGTTTGTTTAGCCGTCCGTGACCCAAACAAAACGCCATTAAATCCACATAAATATACACACACAATTTACTATTTTTATTCAATACAAACATCATGCGCGTAACGATTATTGTTTGTGCGTTGTCGAACGTCGACAGCATTAGCGAAAAAAATCACAACACACATACCCAAAACAAACTAAACTTATTAACAATAAAACACTTTTACGAATCACGAGCCATGAGCGCACGCTCGCGCTCACACACGAAAGTGCGAGTGAGAATAGATCGCATTAACAATCCAAACAATCGGTCTTACGCCAAAATACCACGAAAAAGAGACGATTATTATTTTCAGTCGAACATTTGCATTGTGCGCCCTTTTTTTCACAACAACAGCAAGAGATTTTTTTTTTTCACTTCGTTCGCTGTTTGTTTCGTTGTATTCTTTGTTTTACATAAGTTTTATTTGAAAATGAAACAAATCAGAGAGAAGAATCACAAAAAAAAATTGATAAGATTGTTCTTTTGTTAGTCATCGATTTAAGTGAAGTGAACAATTTAATGATGCTGCTTATTTCCAATGTCATCGCTGTTCAATGGTGCTAAAATCAAGAGAATGAAAAATGTGTTTGCATACAAATTTGACATCAACTGATATCACATTGAAGACAATTATTCTGATTATATACAGATGTTTGGCATACGTTTAGTCAGCGTTTGTAGTGATGAATGTACACGAGAAATGTCGACAAAAGAAACAAAAACAAAGTGGAAGAATAATAATCAGAAAGATTCTCCATTTAAATTACTTTTGATGGTCGGCCAAAGGTATTTCTTCCCGCATACATTCTCTAACATAATTTTTCATTTATATTCGCTTGTCAGAATTTGATCAATTGCTTTTGCAGCCAAGAGGTGATTACGTGTGACAAGAGAAAGGGAAAAGAGATAGGGGACCATTTTACGCATTTTGTACCGTGTTCAATAAATTCTAGAGGCAAAAAACACCAAATTTTTTCTCGATAAACCCAAGACTCACTAAATTGCTTCATTTTTATCGTCAATTTTTTTCTCGATTAAACGGACACCTTTTCGGCTATCATTTTTCAAAACTTAATGCAGAATAGTATACGGGTTTTTTTGTTTTCGGTATATTACATTGATTTTAAACAGTAATTGAATGAAATTTGTTGGTTAGAAAGGTGTAAATTGTTATTTCCCTTGCAAATCATTTCAAATGTAATAATTTATGCAAAAAAACGCTTATTTGCGCTTCGTCATGGAGGCTGTGAGAAAAAACCGGTTAGTTACACACGTCTAACTATGATGATTGCATTCAATTGTCTAAAATCATTTCAATATATATAATTACTCTGGGTGGGTTAACAATAAATTCAATTCCAAAATCTAAATCATCAAATCGCGCACGATTGAACTATGATAACTGAGATAAAAGGTGTTGTTTTTTTTTTATTAAAATTCAAGCTAGTAATAGTGAATAATATGCCATTTTTGTGCTAGTAACATACAAAAAAAGCAAATTGTACAGAGATACATAAAACATCCATTACATTCCACAAATCTTTTGCTTTCAATATTCTGATGCTGAAAAAAATATCAGAATTTTCTGTAAAGTTCATGAACGTTCGGCGCGGCTGACGAAGCACATCGCTTCTGATGAAAAAATTGTCACATAAATTGTGCGCTCACATTTCAATTCATATGAGTGCCAACAATTTTCGCACCTAATTCAAGAAGCGCGCGAATGTTTTCCTCTGCTTTGCACATTTGCTTAATGCAAAACGTAATTGATTTCATTAAGATGTTTCTTTTTCAACAGAAAAAACCATGAACCATTCGCAAAATGAAATCTATTTCGAGTACTCGTTAAATTATTATTTATTCGATTGAGTAAATAGCAGATCCTCTCATTCAAATATTTGTCGTGTACGCTGTTTTGAGGTTGCCTGAGAATGAAGGTGGAATAAGCTGTTCTTTGTGACGACGTGTAATTGAGCCAGTCATTTTGTATGAGTGTTATTTGCATTTTAGCCTCTGAGTCATTCGAAGCGACGATAGATGAATTCTTGTGTATAGTAGCCTGTTTTGCAAAATACACGTGAAATGTAGACGATTGTATCAATTAATTTTGTTGCTACGATCAATGTGCATTGCAATCGGCTAAATGGATTTTCAATCAATGAATTTACTAAAACAAGAAAAATGAAATAATTCGTTCAATTTATGGTGGTTTTTTTATCGTTTCAAACCGAGCTCAATACAAATAAACAAACAAAAAAATTGAGGGCACAACATAAATGTAGAATTTGCGATGAGAAACGAAACACGAAAAAAAAAAAAAAAAAAAAAAAGTGCATCTCGATTATTTGTCGAGTGTCGATGTTGGTTAAATGCCTTCTATTCGATGTGAATCGAGGCGAATAAATCAAACTTACTGCCAACGATGCTGTTCTGATCGCGAATAGAGAAAAAAAAAAACAAATTTTAATAAAAGTTTTTCATTCCATGCATATTCTCGCGGATTGATCGCTTTGGTCATTGACGAATCGCCAATGTGTACAACAGAAATATCAACAACAACAACAATACAATTCATAAAATACGACAAACAATTAAATCCCCGCCACTGAACACGCTTATTGGATCAGGTGGATTCAACATAATCACAAAAAAAAGCAGTAGCAATTGTACGAGAGATTTGAAATGACCGCTTTTGTTGTTTATGACCGTAAAAAGGATCGCAGTTTTGTTTTAGTTCAAATGGATATGTAAACAAATACCGTGTGCAGAGCAAAAGGCGAAAAGAGAAAGCAAACAAAAATAAAAAGCAACAACAATAATGTCAACTAAAAACATTGTATAAAAAAAACTGCTAAAGAAGCGTGCACAACCAAGACAAAAATAAACTGAATCAAAAAAGGAATTTTTACGATTTAAACCAGAAGTGAAAACGAATATACAAGAAAGGAACAAACAACTTGGGTATAATAATCGAATAAGAAAACAAGTTTTGCACTACTGCAAACGTCTGCAACGAACGATTTGATCGAGAATTGAAGAGTGAAGAAAAAGGCGCGATAACGAGAAAAAGAAAAGGATAGAAATAAACGAGCTCGTCACACGAACCAAACACAAACAGTGTCATACACATATAAATAAATCAGCAAACGTATTGACAACACGTATTTGTGCATGGAATTTGTTAAATCAAGTGCAACAGTAGGAATACGTACGAAATCACAAAGCTAATTACTTGTGGTATTCGAAAGAATAAGCAAAACAATTGAATGACAGAAGCAATATTTAATTATAAGAAGAACGCACAAATTTCAAATTAAAAATAATCGGTTTGAATTGTTGACGTTAATATAACAAAGAAATCGATTGACGACATAAACAAAACAAAAAAAATCACGCGAATGTTTTGCTCAGCGAATGATGTTCTTGTGAGTCTCACCGAAAAAACCAAAGTGCTGGCACAGAAATGCACGCAACAACTGCGCACAGTGAATAGCAATCAAAATACGGTGAAAAGCCGATTTTACCACATCACACCGGCAACCGAATCGAATGGCGATGTCGGTGGCAATACAACACTCAATCGTTGCAAGTCCATCAGCAAGTCAAACAATGACATGCATTTGTGCGACAAGGATAAGCCATACGATGAATTGTATAAATCGATATCGCCGCGTAAGACAAATGCAAATGCATTACGTGGAAAAAATTTGGCGACATGCTTTCACACATTGACCGGTTCATTGAAATTGCGACGACGTAAAAGTCTACCCGACTCCGAAGCACTATCAATAGCCACTTGTGGCCGCCGGCGTAAATCAAGCGCAACTAATAACATTGGCTATGCAACCACAACACGGTGGTATGTCAAGGTATCTATCTAAACCAATGTGAAATCGATTCGTAGTTGAGGCTTCCAATTCCATACCAAGCATTGTTATTTGATTGAAAAAAAAAAAGCTAATTGCTTTGCCATGAATTAAAAATATCTTCTGAAATTTCATATTTGCTCATTTACTAATCGATAACAATTAACAATTTTTTACCAGCAGCCTACTTGGCGACTATGGGGCGAAGAGCGAGAAAAGGACGTTATATTTACAGTGTATCTAAAGAAGGTGCGATATCATCGACCAACACCCAGTGCAAGCAGTGTAAGTTCAATTTGAATTTTCATTTTTCAAGGAATCGGAATGGTGTATAATTTGTGTCTAATTCAAAAAATTTGTTGTGACCCAACACAGGATTCGGATGATGAAATATCACATTTGGAATGGGAAACGGTTCGAGTGCGTTTTGTCAAGGCGGCTACATTAAATCGGTTAGTTGAAGCACTATCCACCGATGATGGTGAATTGGAGAGTACGTTTGTCAATGTATTTTTGGCCACATATCGAACATTTGCACGTACTGAACAAGTCATCGATTTACTATTGCAACGTTATGAACGATTGCATGCCGAACCACTTGGTGCTGAATCGTTTGCCGAACAGCATAAAAAGAGCTTAGTGGCAGCATTACATGTATGGCTTGATGGTTATCCAGAAGATTGGAATGTTAGTAATTTGAAGAAGATTATCGCATTCACATCGAAACGATTGTCCAGTTCGGAAGTGCATCACAAAGCATTAAATCGATTGGAACGTTTGGCCCGGGCACGAGCACACGGCACATCTGTTCAGCCTGCCACACCATGGGACAATGATTACAGCACCGATTTTTCACAACAATTCAATGGTTTATGTTTAACACCGGCATTTATGCCACCATCGCATCTACTACAAGCATACCGATTTCCACACATTTCCGTTAAACACTTTGCCGAGCAATTGACTCGCATGGATATGGTGAGCACGATACACAATATATTCATTTACGAACTATTATCACATCAAATTTATCGTCGCATTTTTATTTTTTTGAATTGAGATTTGAATGGCAAATAATTATCCGGTTTAACATTCCGTTTCTCGGTATTTTTTGCAGGATCTATTTAAGCGGCTGATACCACATCAGTGTTTGGGCGCAACATGGTCACGTCGTGATAAAAATGAGGCCAACACCGTTTTGGCAACAGTCACACAATTTAATGCAGTTTCATTTCGTGTCATTTCTAGCATTTTAATTGAACCAAAGTTAAGACCACAAGTAAGTGTATTTTGAATGGAAAAACAATTGTCTCGAATACGAAATTGGCTTGTGGCATTTTTTTCTCTCTCTTCAGTTTATAATTAATTCGCATGTACTTCAATTAGTAATTATTCAAATAATTTGCTTTACAATTGTGTGTTTTTATTTGCAGGAAAGAGCCATCATCGTTTCGACATGGATTGACATTGCTCAGGAGCTGAGAATATTGAAAAATTTCTCATCGCTTAAGGCGATAATATCGGGTCTTCAATCGAATGCAATCTACCGACTATCGAAAACCTGGGCGGTTTTACCAAGGGAAAAACTCGAGATTTTTAATGAATTGGCGCGCATTTTCTCTGAAGATAATAACGCTTGGGCACAGCGCGAAGTTTTAATGCGGGAGGGAACGGCCAAATTTGCCGATACAACTGGCGAAAATGATCGGCATTTGCAAAAAGTCTTTCAAAAGCAGGTTGGTCAACTATTTTTTGCTCGTTTATATTTTGCTTTTTGAAATGAATTACAGTTTTTTTTTTTTTTATTGAATCTATAATTTACAAAAGTATATAATTAACATACAAAATTGAAGTGCATTCTATAGTCTATTACCAATAAAAAATCTGTATAAATTGGAGAGCATCAAAGACTAGAGCACTATTTTCATAATTAAAAATAATCACATGGAGATATATAAAAAAAATTACAATTTAATTATCATTTCATGTCTACAATCGATGGAATTTATTTAATTACAGGATACGCATATTAGTCACGGTACGATACCATATCTAGGAACATTTTTAACTGATTTAACAATGATACATGCAGCAATACCCGACACAATTGGACCAAATAATTTGATAAACTTTGATAAAAAGCGTAAAGAATTCGAGGTGTTGGCACAAATTAAATTACTACAGGGTGCAGCAAATGCATATCATTTGCCCGAAGATTTATTGTTTGATCGATGGTTTGCCAGCTTATTGGTGTTGGACGAAAGAGAGGCGCATACATTATCCTGTCAGTTAGAACCGCCGCCACCCTCATCAGACAATAAGCGTGCACCAATTAGCGGTAGCGGTCATAAAAAAAGTGATTCCATTGCATCGAACTCAAGCAGTGGGGCCGGTTCACAATTTTATTGTGAAATCGGACATTCGAATGATCTCAGGTGAGTAGATTTTTTTTTTTTTTTTTTTTTTCAAATAAGATTTTAACACGAAATTTAAAATGTTATTTATTTGTGCTCTTTTGTTGTAGTTTTTCTCGGCATAATTCATTAGGTCGTGACATGACACCGCCAAATGCATCGATAATGTCAGCCACAAGTAGTGTGTCATCGTTATCGATGGATTCGTCGTCAAGTGGACAAAATAAAGCAACGTCAACGAATACATATCAATTGGTAATGATTTTTGTTATTTAAATGAAATTTAATCCAAACAATGAAACGAATTACATAAATTCACACAAGTGCATGAAATCTAATTGAAATATTATTTTCTCAATTATCTCATATAGCCAAATAATCATTCGTCAACTGCGAACAACACTACCTCACGCGACCAAATCGATTTGCGAACACATGCAAGTACACGCACCGATAATTATCAGCCACTTGGAAAACCAAATCAAACGAATGCAATCTATAATATACCGTCATCGCTAAATAATAGCACCAGTTCGAATAGTAGCGGCCATTATAATCAATCAATGCCACCGCATCAACAAAATTCACCGCATAAAAATCCATCGCCCGATTTCTATATCATTCGTGTTACATACGAAACGGAAAATGTCGAATTGGACGGCATTGTATTGTACAAGAGCATAATGTTAGGTAATAATGAACGAACACCGCAAGTGATAAAAAATTCGATGCTCAAACTTGGACTGGAAGGTGATCCCGATAAATATACATTAGCACAAGTACTGCCAGATAAAGAATTAATCATGCCGCAAAATGCAAATGTCTATTATGCCGTTAACACCGCATACAATTTGAATTTTATACTACGACCAAAACGAAATACCGGCATTTAAATTGAATTCACATTGGTTAACATATGGAAACAAACAAAAGCATACACATACAAAGAAGTGCATTCGCATTTAAATGATATCCGATCGGGGAGCCGAAATGACGTTCATCATGTACTATAAAACTAATGGCAATATACACGCTAATAAGCTGATCAGATGAGAAAAACAAACAAGAGAAACAAACACTGAAAAGGAAAACACAATTTAACGGTCCAAATTTATCATAAAAACTCTAAACAATTTGCACGACTTTCCACCAAAATTTGTAGAAATTTTAAGCACAAACTAAATAAAATTGATATGCAACCATGTGAAATTGAAATTTTACACAAATGTGACGAATTTTAATTTCGGGCAGCATTAAGAGAACGAAACATTTAAATGAAAGCAAAATTTGTAATTTATTTATATAAAACACACACATACACACAAAAAAGAAAATTTAGAATTAAATATTGTATAAAAACTAGTTTTGTGAGAAAATTCGAGAAAAACACTTTTTTTGTACTTGCGAAAAAGAAGCAACAATAAACATAAAACAACATTTATTTATATATATATACATGTATAGAAATGTGTACTGTAGATTTATTCATTGAATTATTATATACATATTTGAGCAAACATATATTTAAATGACGTAAAAAAGTGATAGACATGAACGTGGAATTTAGACGATGTTCATTACAAAACAGAAGTAGTACAGTCATATCGAAATCAAAACAATTATGATTTTTTTTTTGTTTACAAAATTGGTCAAATTTCAAGTGTCCGTTATGATCGAAGAAAATATGAAGAATTTTGCGTCCAAACATTCATTCAACTTTTATGCTGTGCAAATTATCTCGCAATCTTTTTTCGTGACACCGTATATTTGACAATTTTCTAACTAAGATGATGATGATGAAATAACACCATTTTGTACGAATTATTTATTATCCGTGTCGAGTCATCATAAATTACTAAGAAGAAAAATTAACGATTCCAAGGCAAATATTAAAATTCATATCAATTTAAATTTCATCTGTGTAAAAAAATTCCGATTCATTTGATTATAAAATAGATAAAAAAAAATTCCAATTGTTTTCTTCTTCTCTTAATCTAATTTAAATTATGTTGACGCAAAATGTTCTTTAATCTTTTTTTAAATTTAATCTTCGTTTCATATCATTATTTAAGATGGACTGACATAATAACTTTTTAATTTGGTCAAATCAAATATTTTGTAGAAAACAAAAGTAAATAACAAAAAAAAAAAATATGGGAATACTCAACCTTTGTAAATAAAAAAGATAGAAAGAAAGAAAGGCACAACACAAACATATTGTTTGTCCATGTCATCCAATGGAAGTAATGAATAAACTATATTTTTTTAACTCGTTTGTATTGCTTTTTATTTACAGAATGCAACAAAAAAAAAAACGAAATGAAAATCAAAATATCGATTTTTAAAAATGAAGATATTTTGAGAGTACAAATTATCTATTGAATTTGATTTTGCTGATAAACCAAAACAAGCAAAATGTTTTCAAATATATTTGTGCCAACATTGTTAACACAAAGACATCCGCAAGTGAATGGAATCCACTGGCTTCTATTCAAATATTGTTTCTCTTATAGAGAATTGTTTGCTATATAAGAGCTGGTTAAAGAGTTATGTCAATATTGTTTTAAGCTCTAGATGCGAAAACCACCCCACGTAATATTTATGCAAAGTTTGAACACGATCAGTTAATTGGTTTGATTGTGGCAATAAGTCAAAGGCGAAAAAGCCGGCGGCGATGAAGGTGGCAATGGTATCACCCACTTTTGTTATTTCTACAAGCCAACTAATTAAATGATCGCTCCAAAACTTTCATGCACAAACATTAGATGGGCTTGTACAAATTTAGCGCCGAAAATGATTATTTTGATTATAATAAATAATTGGAGGTTCGTTTGAAGATTCACTTATACAGGACACTGTAAAAACATTTCAATTCGTTGATAAAGTGGATCTGTTTCATCTTTCTTCAACTACACCTCCAGCGGTGTAAAGAAATACGTAATTACGACAGGACGTATACAGGTATCTTTAAAAAAAAATACTTTCTTCAAACCAATTCTACTTACTTTCCCACCCATAAAATATAATCCAACCCTTAAAATGAAATAATTTAAAAATGAATCTTTATGAAAAGCGAAAAATAAGCTGCGAATCTCAAGGCAATTGGCATTAAAACGGCTCGTTGAAATTGATATTAAAATATGCTCTTTTTTTAATGAATTGACTTTTTCATTTAAATTGATCTGGGGTCATTATTCACATAGTCCTCGCTCATCACATTTTATCCCTGGAAATCTGCCACATTCACGGTTCATCTATCTTTTCATTGTGTTGGTACGGTCATTTCCTTTACTTTCAAAATGTTTTAATCAAATGATTTCCCTTTTGAAGATTAAAAAAAAACGTTCATGCTTATTTGATGCATCTTCGGTTGAAAGTATGCGCGTATACGTATACATTTCACTTCGGTGCCGAAAGTCATGCGGGAAGAAACCGATACACTGTGACACAGTATATTGCTGACACATCGAATATTAAATGGGGGGGAAATGGTTGTCTCTTTCCCTCAATATTTCTGTATGTGTGGTAAAAGCGGTTTTCCACTGCTCGAACATTTTTAAGCTCATGCTAAAACAGAAAGTGAGACTTTGATACTCACTTTTTCATGTTTCCGTGACAAAAACCACTTATCTTTAACATGCCATTAGAAATGACAGAGAGAGAGAGAGAGAGTTGCGTTTAGTTTTGTGCAAATAAAGCGAAAATGTTTACGAATTGATTGAAGACAAAACACTTCTCCTTCCGAACATTACATTTTGCATAAATATTCTTTTATTTTGGCATTCTTTGTCGGTAAATTATCTAATATTTAAACCGAAATCTAATTAAAGTTTTGACGACAAAGACATATCTTCATCCATTCGTCGTTTCCCGTTGAATAAATTTAAAACAAAAACTATGATGATTATACGTGATACCCATGATACCGCAAGCGATAATTGTGAAAAAGCTCTATGACGCTTTTGAATGACGAACAAGCTACAAGTTATTTTGAACCCTGATGTGGCAACATCGACAATTCCATGCACACAAAACACACACACACACCCACATCCACAAATCGACCCATACAATGCCAGTTCGGTGTGTCGTGTTGAAACGCAATTTCATTCAAACCGACTCTGTATAAGAAAAGTGAACGAGTGTGCGTAGATGTCAATGCATACACTCACACCAATTTCCATCGTCATGTTAGATATGTTTTTGTGTTCATGTCCAAAGGATATTTAATATTGGCGGCCATATTTTCGGTTAAATTCGTCGATTTTTTTTATCCATGCTATTCGTTACATTCTTTTTAACATAATTGCCGTTGTTGCCACTCGTTCTCTCCGTGTGTCTGTATGCGTCAATTTGCTCGTGTGTGTGTGTGTGTATTTATGTATGGTTAAATGTATGTGTACCGTTCGTTTTGATAAGTACCATACAACTTTCTCCTTTTCACATTTTATCCATTGATTTGGTCGTACGGTCGTGGATTGTGCTTTTCCTTGTCACTCTTACAGTATTTTTTTTCGTTTTCAATGTTATTTCTATCCTCCTATACATAACAATTTTCAGTTCGAGGTTAAATGTTTCTATGAAAAGACGTGCTTTTCGTCCGTGTGCATAATGATTTTCCCACAACGTGTAGTATCCTCAGTTCAATGTGTATACTGTATATAGAAAAAAAAGGAAATATTCAACGGCAAGTTTATATATGCAGAGAAACAAAATCGAATAAACAATCATCAAATGAACACAAAAGTGAGAAGAACTGGGAAGAAAAACATACAAAAAAAGTATCCAAATTCTAATACCGAAAAACGACTTGCACAGTGAGTTTTTTTTAACAACACACACGATTTCAAAAAAAAGGACTAAATCATCATCATTTACAATTTCTTATCATCATTTCATCGAGAATGTTTTGTAAAAAAATTTCGTTTTGATACGAATGCTTCGCAATAAATTTAAAATCGAAGAAGAAAACGGAGAAAAAGAAGATTATTAGTGTAAGAGACATTTATTTTACAGTGTTTATTTCGAATATTAATGTGTTTTGCAGTAAAAGAATTGAAAGAAAAAGGGAAAAGAATGTATCAAAAATAGAAAAAGTTCACATCGACCCCGTGTGATGCGTGTTTGTGTTTCGAAAAGTACAAATGTTTCGGAATCAACGAATGTGAGAGAGAAGTAGAGAGAGAGAGAGGAGTCAGAGCGAAAGAGTGAATGGGCAAGAGAGAATCGCGTCCAAAGTGTATATGTGAGAATTGAAACATTGCCACAATTTTGTGCATTTTGAATAAATTGATTTGGAATTTAATTTCCAATATAGTAACCTACAAAAATGAGAACGACAAGTGCAATAGGAAGATGAATGACTTGACCGAATGAGCTTTCGATGAAGTATGAAACATGATATTCGTATACAAGTCAATTTATTTTCTTTCTTTCATTTTTTTTACATTTCAATTTCTAAGAGTCTTGAAAAAATAGACTATTAGTCGATTTTATGAAAAGAAAAGAGAGAGAGAGAGATGTTTATAAACTCCGTCATAGTTATATGTTAGACTTGAAAAAAATGTTCATTGATTGATTTAACACACGATGATTTATGTTGTTCAGAACGAAAGACAGAAAAAAAGAATCATGACAAAATGAGGCACACAGTGTGCGAGCAAAAGAAAGAAAGAAAGTGAAACGCGTGTGTGCATATATATGCTTGAAATAATAAAATATAAAGCGTTCGGCGACCGCTCCCCAAAAGAAGACAACTTTACAACCCACAGTCGGATAGGGAACGAAATGCGTGTACAGATGACTGTCAGATAAAAGTGCACGATGTACGGTGTATGTCGTCGAACACACACACACATAATAAGAGAGAAAAATCAAGACTTAAAAAATGTCACACGATAAAGAGAGAAATAGAGAGAAAGAGAAAAAAAAAACAAAAAGAGGAAAACAGTGAAGAAAAAAACTAGAAGAAAATGATAATAACCACTGACAAATACACACAGATGTTCTGTTCATTGTCTAATAAATTGAATCTGTTTCAGTACACGAAATATTTCATTTCTTTCTTTCTTCATTTTTCATTAGAAAAGTTGGGGTAAAATGAATTTTATCGGCACGACACAACGACACAAAAGGAAATAAACAACCAACCAAAATGGTTTGGATCGCCTATCAAACCGAAAGAGTAGAGAAACAACACCTTTTCTAATGAATTATCGCAATTATGTTTTACAACACATACAAGCGGCTCATGCCATACAATAATGAAATAAGCTCTCTCGAGCGCATTAAACAATTGATAAAAAGTTCGGTATTTTGTTAATGGTAAAAAAGGGAGCTCGAGTTCACTGAAAATGACTAGAAACATGTAAACAATGGCCAATGAGCTATGCGCTCAATCCAATCGACAAGTAAAACTAATAAACGTAAAAAAAGCCCACACAACACCAACGACATGCACACGAATAGCGTTAATATTTATGGAAGTTTGTCGATGCTTTTTCAACTTTGATCTGTAATATATCATTTGCGTTGGAAGCTCGAGCGCACAATATATATATTAGGCATTGGATTCCTTGATTGTTATTAGCAGAAAGAGTAGTGCTATTTATGTGTATAAATTTTAAGCTCTTTCACTGAATATACATATATCTCTGCACGGTTGTATATCCTTTTTGGCTAACTCTGTGTGTTGTGCAAACTCAATAAATTTCCTTTTGTCAACGACAAAACTATGTACACACACAATTCGACGACGGCGGCGACAATAACAACAACAACATAATGATACTACCTCCACGTTTCAGCACCGTGAGTGGATGAAATGTAGCCATGACATTTGCATCGTTGTTCCATCGCTTTTATCGACCCTCAATTTTGCTATGCAATGAAATTCATGCTCAAACGAATCCAATCATTTGGACCAAATCTATCGCCAAAATCGATAGCGAAAAAAAACCTGCACAAAAACACAATCCATATTGTATTGATTCGTATGAAACTGAAAGAGACCGAAACAGAAACGGGAAAAAAGAAAGAAAAAGCACAGAATTCGATTACGTGAAATCCCAAACACGGAACACTTTTTTTCTCTATCGCTTCTTTGGAAACGTTACAAGCTTTCTTTTTAAAGTGAATATAGATCATTTTTGCATAATAAAGATATCCACGCAGACTGCTTTTAACACGGAGAATATGCAACAGATTCACAAAAACACATAGCATAATAGATGCATCTTTCCCTATCAAAAAATGCCTTATAAATTGTACGAAAACGACGTGCACACACTTACACACACATACATCCACATATACACGAAAAGAAACGTGGTTCTTTCAAGTAAATTTGAATGAATAGATAATCAAATGTGCAAATGCACCATCAACCAAAATGATATAAGCAACTACTTTGGCCGAAATAAGGAAAACGCGCAAAATACACGTTTCGGTTGGCCCAATTTCGTGAATTCCATTTCAAATTTGGTATTTTCCAACCAAAAACAACCATCATTAATGGCGGTTAACATGGTTTTTTTTTCTTCAAATGCTTGAATAAATAATTTCAAGCATTTCACGTGTTACAATGACCGTCACATGGGCTGAATCATTTTTAATGGAGAGATTAAGGGAAATAAAAACATAAAATGAAAAAAAAATTATTTTCTGGAAAATGAAAAAGAAAAAAGGAGAACACCATATATACAGACATTCTAATAATTGTAATACATCATTCAAGTGACATACAGTAACGCGTATTTGAACTCTGTCTTTCGATTGAAATCAAGTGAAGAAACCATTGAAAGAGACTGACATGAAAACCTATAAATACGAAAGAAAATTACCACGTCAACTATAAATACAGAAACTCAACAACCAAGTTCATAAAATGCTCAATCGTATTAAAATGTAATTTGTTATGGGGCAAGTGAAAAAGGTGCCGTCATTGTAAAATTTGTCTTATTTAATAAGCTCAGATCAGAACGGCTTTAATGCAAAAAAAAATCCTGAATTTAAGTGCATTGAGCAATGACACTGAACGCATAAACATAATAGATCCAAATTTGACTAGAATGTTATCAACTGCCCGGTTGTTATTAAGCCACCATGGCTATTCGTGACAATGAAGAAACGCAAAGGATCAAACTTCGTCGTTCGGAAAACAAAATTGGGAAATTAGCCAGAAATGGAAAATCATTTTTTTTCTTGTTCCTGTTTTCCCTTGATACGCTCTTTCCATATCTCTCTCTCTCTGTCTCTCTCTTTCGCATTTCAGCCATGATAATTATTCGATGTCAGCATGAAATCGATGACACACAAAAACTTTAATAACTTGGTTATGTGCTATTGCAATGTTGTTTTAAAATTTAATTGCTCAACGACTTTTCCGATTTCGAGCGTCTCTTTTTAAAATGTGATTTGTATTGTCTTAAAACACTATTTCGTGCCATGTAATATTGGAAATGTTGCAAAGTATATCGATTTATGTCTTCGAATTGCTTATTTTTTTCCTATTTCGTTGCCGCTATTGTTGTCCTTCTCCTCTTCTTCCTTCGTCACCAACAACCACCATTACAACGTCAACAGCGAATAATATACATAGTTGCTTCGATGGTATTGGAGTTCATTGGTTGATGTGCGAGAACGAGATATGGGGAGAGATTGATAGAGAGACAAAACGTGAACTGGAATCTAGTTACTGGATGTGTGCATTTGTACTGAATCCACATTTGTCAACAACACAGTTCGAAACGACAACAACAAAGCCAGATTTGAACATAAAGTATGTGATGAAATGACAAAAAAAGGTTCTTCTTTCACTCAAGTTCGCTTTCATCGAATCGTACGCATTTCTAGCCTTAAATGAATGCTAGCGAGAAAAAGAAACAAACGAAGAAAGAAAATCGAAAAGTAGTGAAAATACAAAAGCGTACAAGTGTAGAGCAACGTGCTTGAATATTGAATTGTTACACAAAATATAGCCAACAATAAAACGTTTCGGCATGTTTTCGTGATAATGTGTTTATTCCTCTCTCTCTCTCTCTCTCTCTCTCTCTCTCTCTCTCTCTCTCTCTCTCTTTCTCCGTTGCTAGACTTGATTTTCCAACCAGTCTTACGTTAATTCTTTCCTATTCCATATAGTGTCATCTATCTATCTCCCTTTCATTGGTTTTATTGTCATTTTTATATCAAGACATTATGCTGCACTTGTTATGTTTACGAGCTTCTTCTCAATTCCCGAACCATTTTCATTTTCAATTAAAAGAACAACACTTGCCATTTTGTGTATTGCACATTCGCGCGCATACACACATACACACACAACATAAACATCATCCATTTATGAGGCTCGTTTTTATCCCATGTGGGAAGCCATGGAATCCACACTGGTCACTTTGCAAAATATGTGATACTTTACGTACGTTTTCTGGGCCATTTCAACAACACACAGAGAGAAGAAGAAAAAAACAACAAAAGAATAGCACATGACAGCAACTTTAAAAGTCAATTTTCTGTTGTTGTTTTTTTTTCTGCTCTACATCTCTGTTTTTATGGTTGTCGACGAAACAAAATCAAACGAGAAAGTTGGAAAGAGCAAGAGAAAAAATTTATTAGCCACTGAATATTGAATATGCATGTGCAATGCCAAACCAAACAATGAATTTTTGTTGTATTTCCATTTTTATTTTCAAATGTTCTATCACATTTGGCTGTTGAATAGATTGATGTCGTAAAAACATGATCTTGTCATTCACAAAGAATAATTCACAGTTTTATGTGACAATAGTTAAACAATGTGTAACAAAAAAAATGGATAAAATGAAACAACATTGATGAGTTTTTTTTTTTCAAATTAGAATTTTATTCAATGAATTTTGAACACGCTTAAACTTTATTCGATCAACGGTCACACGGAAGACAGATGCTATAGTAATTACAATTGTTTTCCTAATGACACACACACACATACAAAAAATTGATTTTTCTGCCGTACTGA